GGGTTGGGTGTTGTTGTTTTTTAAGCACCCAAAAAAAACCCACATCCCTTTAAATCTCCTCCTTGAAAGATATATTTTCAGGAGAGCTTTACATTCAAACAAAGTAAGAAGAAATAATCACCAGACGTGAGGGCCCGCTCTCCCTGCTGCCGCGATCATAGCTAAGCTGCTTTGGAAAGCTTTAAAGAGATTGTTGGGAGGTTTAAGACAATTAAAAGGGAAGAATCAAGGAGCAAAAACTCACGACGAGGGGACCTCCCAGCCAAGCCGTGGCAAAGGGCATGGCTGGCGACCCCCCCCGCCCAGAAGGGGGGCCACCCTGACGTTGGAGGCAAGCCAAAAGGGCTCCCCAGGCCAGCACTCCAACCCAGAAGATGATGCCCGTGGGAAGCCCACCAGCCTGTTCGTCACGACCAGGCTGACCACAAAGTGAACACAAAGCCCATGCGGGGACATCGCTGACCCTCATCCAGGCAGACGGGGGGGGGGGCACGGTCGTCTTCCAAGAGTTGCAGCTGGTTGCAAAATTCACCCTGAAGCAGATCGACAAAAAATAGGCAATTGGCAACTTTATCCTTCGAAAGCCGAGATGGGCACGAACCGGGAAATCGGTGGTTCGTGACGATTCGTGGTTCGGGGCTGTTTACGAACCATGAACCGCAAACCATCATGAACGTCCACACCTGAAAGACAAACCCCTTTGTGGTTCATTTTGGGGAATTCGTGCCAGGAGGGGACCCACCGCCTGCCCCCTTCTCATTGCCCGTTGCCTCTCAACCTGGTCCTGTCTCCTACACTGCCATCATCCTCAGAGACGGAGGGGCCAGCATCCTTCCCTTCCAGGGGGAGCCTGAGCCACAGCCTCTGCCCAGGGGCTTCCCGCCCAGGTTCCGGCCTCTGGAGGAGACCCCCCCCCCAAAGGGGAACGAGCCGTCCACTGGGGAGAGAGCGGCTCTTACGGGAACTCCCACAACACCTGAAAGGGCGGCATTTCCAAGCCACCTTGTCACTAACCGTCTGGTCACACGCCTCCTTTTTCAGAAAGAAAGAAAAAAGGGTCGAATTTGCACTCAATCGTATCTCAACACTCTAATGTTTAATTATGTTTCCGTGTAGCACATTTGTTTTGTTTATTGCCTCTTTCTTATTTCCACCTTAGGTCTCGTCTATTTTTACACACATTGCAGGGAGAGTCACAACAAAATGAGGTAATACAAACCCGGGACCGTCACGAAAACGAAGCAAACGAACCAGGCTTAAAATGAGAACGCAACACCAGGAGGGCGCAAGCTCATGAAGAGGGCATGGAGGTAAGCCTCATTCTGTCCTCACCCCACTCAAAACCAGGGCCCATTCAAGCCACCTGTCCGTACAGGCTTTACAGAAAAGGAAGCAACAGGAAATCCGCCTCGTTAACATATGGACAACTTATTCTCTATTATCCAACTTTTTCTCCAGAGACTTGGAAGCAAGCACACTGATTGTGTTGCCTCTGTTTTTTTCTTTACAACAACCCTGTGAGGTAGGTCAGTTTTTTTGTTTGTTTTACAACAACCCTGTGAGGTAGGTCAGTCTGGGAGAGCAGGAAAGGAACCCAGGCCTCCCCAGCCCCCTTCACCTCGGTGGCAGAGGCCACCCAGGTGAGAGGCGAAGGCCATCGGCAACACCACCAGCCAGGGCTGCCTTGCGCCCACGCCCTCCCTTCATTAAGGCTGTTTCTGTTCATAAGTGCTTCGTTTGTCCAGAGCCAGGCCCTCCTGCCAATCAGGCTAATTGGATGCCCTCAAGTTCTCCCTTCCCCGCCTGGGTTAAATGAGAGAAAAATGCTGCGTGCCCTCCTGTGCCCCTATGCGTGGTTTTACAAATCTCCAGCCTGCCCTTTGGTGCCACCTCCAAAAATAAAAAGCCCTCAGGCGCTGGCCTTTCCCAGCAAGGATGATGCCTCTCTCCCGGTCAGGATGATCCCAGGCTCAGACAGGTGAGCATCCCTCACCCCCAAGAACGAAGAATTGGGGGGCATGGGGGGGGAGAGACTGCACGTCACACTTTGGGGAACTTACAGAAGCTCCCTGGGGCCACCATGGGGTCAGGATGATTCAGGCTCAGGCAGGTGAGCATCCCTCACCCCCAAGAACTAAGAATTGGGGGGCGTGCGGGGGGAAGAGACTGCAAGCCACACTTTGGGGAACTTACAGAAGCACCCTGGGGCCACCATGGTCATCCAGGTATTCGGGGTGGGGGGAGGAGAACGTTGTCGATATCCTTCCCCGTCTCTCCTCTGAGCACCCACCCCTGCCCAGGACAGAGGCACCGAGACCAGACCCCATTTTCAACAAGTCTACTTCCACTGTGTATCAGAAAAGCGAAAACAAGATGCCACACCCAGGCTTCTGGCACCTTTGATAACAAACCGACGCAACAAACATTCACACAGAGATAAATAAAACAAGGCAGGGGGGGGCGTGCGCCTCCCTCCATTTTTGTCACACATCGGAGCCACATTTTTGCATTAAAATCTGTATGTGTGGAAAAGCAACTTAATTTGGGGCGGCTGGTTTAGCTCTCGGCCTGTTCCTGGTCTGGTCCTGGCACGTTTGGCCCACGGCGATGGGGCCGCCAATGGCACGCGTGGCCCCCGCCATCCCTTCATCAAGATGCACAGTAGCCAAATCCAGTGAAAGACACTAGAAGCAGAAAACACACGCATGACTTCCTCCCAGGCAATAAAATAATAACAACTCAAATAAATAAAGATGATAAAAACATTGTGGCAGCTTAAAGACTAACTGCTGTATTTCAGTGCACGCTTTCGTGGTCCGAGGAAGTGGCCTTGTCCACAAAAGCTCACTTGTGGCAGTTTAAAGACTAACTGCTGTATTGCAGTGTGCGATTTCGTGGTCTGAGGAAAGTGGCCTTGTCCACAAAAGCTCACATTAAAATATAGCAGCTAGTCTTCAAGGTGCCACAACAATCTTCGTTTTCTTTTAGTTTCCTTTAGTTTCTATCTTTAAAGACTAACTGCTGTATTGCAGTGTGCGATTTCGTGGTCTGAGGAAAGTGGCCTTGTCCACAAAAGCTCACATTAAAATATAGCAGCTAGTCTTCAAGGTGCCACAACAATCTTCGTTTTCTTTTAGTTTCCTTTAGTTTCTATCTATTTTATTACGTTCATTTTCTTTTAGTTTCCTTTAGTTTCTATCTTATATGCTAGCACAGATTAACACAGCTACTTCTTCTAAACCTAATAATAGTAACTGTTCCCCTTCCGTGACATCTCAAGTTGGATGCCAGAGGCGCCTCGTACTCTCCGTCTAACGACAGGGCCGGCCGTTGGGAAACAGAAATCCTGCCCAATCTGTTGCGAACCACCCCAAACCCCATCAATGTCAATCCTAAATCTACCTTTGGCCCATTCTTTTGCTCGCTGACGATGGCACCCTATATGCACGCTCTCCCTCCCTCTCCCTCTCCCTCTCTCTCGGCCCATTCTTTTGCTCGCTGACAATGGCACCCGATATGCGCGCTCTCCATGCCCTTCCTGGAATTTCTCTCTCTCTGTGTGTGTGTGTGTGTGTGTGTGTGTGTGAGAGAGAGAGAGGTTAAAAGAACTGCACACTTAAGGCCACCATCACCAGCTCCATATATCAAGGATGCTACAAGCCAGTTAGAGCCGAGAGGAGGAAATGAAGGGGTCGCCTCATAGCTGCAAGAAGAATGAATGGGGAGAAGGGTGTTCACTGCTCTGCTCACTCAGCACATCCATGTTCCTAAGCACAACATCATTTCCCCAAAACCTAGAACACTGGAATGGTGGGGTTCTTCCCCCACCCCCCCGGCCACTTGCATTTGCTCTCCTCTCTGACACCCAAACGGCTTTTCTTCCAGAAGGAAAGGAACCCCTTATGGATTACAATTCCCAGAATAAAACAGCCCGCTTGACCAGTATTCTAGACATGATTGGGGTGGGTGGGATCCACCCCTTCCCCATCTCTGGTTCTGGAAGTACTCTTGATGGGAAGGGAAAGAAGCCTTCAGTTGTAAATCATGTGGTCACTTCCAGTATTTTGCCTATTTATTGATTTATCTGCCCTGTCTTTCTCCCCTAGCACAGGACAGCTCAAGCCATGCAATAAAAATCAGTGCAACTGAAAATACAATAAGCTACGATTTTAAGACATAATTCAGTTATTTAAAAACTAATGCTGAATTAAAACAGCTTTAAAACAATTTAAAAGTAAAACAAATGGGGGATACAAATACACATTTTATTGCTCACTGCAATTCACGGGAGCGGGACTGGGTAAGGGGTCCATCTGTGTGCATTTTATATGCTTCTGCAGACACACAAAATGTATTTTTGAGACCAGGCTTAAAGAAGGTTTTGGATGTTCATGGTATCCAGTGGCCCCATAAAGCAGCTCCGGTTGATATTACAGCTCGTGGGAAGGAGCACCAGCTGAACTCTATTGTCAACGGATATGAATTATCAAGAGTTACAGGAAAGAAAGAAGGAAGAATAGATGCTCAGCTGAATTTTTATTCTTAAGAATGCCATCTCCAGAAAGCAAACAACCAAGATGGTCAATCCTAGTCAGATATTTATATCCTATCAGTTACAGCACATCAGACACTCACACACATGTCGAATCTTTTATCACAATGTTTTCTAGCCAATTTCTACTAATTTATTAGAGGCACACTTATCCTACTTCTCCTCCAGCGAGTTCAGAGCAGGAGATAAACTGGCCTCTCCCACCACCACCACCACCAGCAGCACAGTGGGCCAGGCTAAAAGAGAAAGGGGAAGCTGTGCTCTGGGTCACGTCTCGAGTTCCAGACTCGGTGGGGTGGGTCCTGAGATGTCTTGAGCCCCAACTCAACACTCTTGACTGCTACACCCCAAAACATGCTATCCCCCCCATTATAGTCAGAAACCAGCAAGATCTTAGAACTTCCCCGTATGGGACCAGCTCAGAAGCACACAGAAACCAGTCACTCACCAGGCCCACCAGCGGAGAAATGCAAGGCAGGGCAGATTCACCCAGCACCCGTCTTCCTTTCCCTCCAAGCTGAAGCAGTGGTTGCAACTACACAGCTGTACCCGTTTGAGCCTAATTTATCTCTCACCGCTCCACCCCTTGGAATTCTGGGACTTGTAGTCGGAGCCCCTCCGAATTATCCGCTGGAGTGCAAGGAAAAGGCCCAGGCCTCCTGGGCACAGCCCCAAAACTGCAAACGCCAGGATCCCCTACGGCGGAGTTAAAGTCCCATCGAACAGTGTGGTGCAGATGCCCACGTGAGCGGCCGAGCCCAGAATGGCGCCAGGAACACCGCCGGCTCTGAATGCGTTTGGAAAACCGATCCCCCCCCCCTCACAACACAGCATGTATGGCTTCCTCTGGGATGCCCACATTGAATAGCACGCCGGGCTCCTGTGCCTTTAATAGGGCTGTGGAGGCGGGAGCTTAAACCAGGTGCCCCCAGTTAGAGCAGCTCTTCCTGCTGATGGTTGCTTTCTCCTCCAGCTGTTCAAGGCAGGAGAGCCCCATCCTCTTCTCCGACACCCCAAGCACTGCACACAGTGAAGGCTGGGAAATAGTAGTCAAGACACTTCAGCAAAGACGGCTCTGCTTTTGCAGTCTAGGCTTCCCAGCCTGGGCCAAACAGCGGTTGGGCTGGCCTGGCCCCGCTCTGGCCCCTGGCTTTCCGCTTGAATGGTGTGGTGCAGATGCCCCCGTGAGCGGCCGAGCCCAGAAGGGCACCAGGAACACCACCGGCTATGAATGCATTTGCAAAACCGATCCCCCCCCCCCCCCC